GCAGTTTTTCCACGTTTATTTGTTGGGCGTCGTAATTGTACAAGGCTTCCTTTAACCACTGGCCCACCAAATGTAGACAAATTACGTTCAACTTGTGTAATTGCTTCTGAAAAATATTTTGCATTTGTAAAATATATGTAATAAACTTTTAATTTAAATTATAAAATAATTTACCATTTGACTCCAAAGAGGTACCCATGATATTAGAACTATTTCCGTGAGATTTTTTATGTGATAATTGAGGCGTTGAGCTCCCTTGTAACTGTTTTTCCACCTCTACAATGAATAACAGGCCACTTTTTTAGTACAAATTTTTCTTACAATATACTATKATAAAAATTAAATAATATTTTTACCTTCAATAATATTGGATTCTTGAAACATATTTTCCAAGGCATGATGGATTTCTTTAAAAGTTGGCCTCTCATTTGGAGCCCACTGCCAGCACTGTTTCATTAGCTGATAAATATTTGGTGGGCATCCAGGTGGGCAATCCATTCTAATATTAAGATATGTTCGTTTTATTTTAATCTAAAATTCTCATCATTTAAAAAAATATGTATTTCCATACCTGTATCCTTTTTMTAACATATGATAAACATCAGTTAAATCAACACCAGGATATGGTGACATACCATACGTAGCAATTTCCCACAATAAAACACCAAATGCCCACACATCAGACTATAATGAACAAACATGTTAGTTTAAAAATTAAATTAAAATAAACTAAAAAAAGCATACTTTGGTTGAAAATTTGTTATAAGCCAAGCCTTCTGGCGCAGTCCATTTAATAGGAAATTTTGCACCTGCATGTGCTGTGTAAGTGTCGTCCCGCATTAATCGAGCCAGGCCAAAATCAGCAACTTTAACAAGATGATTTTCACCAACAAGACAGTTACGTGCAGCCAAATCCCTACAAAAAGAAATTATGAGCAATTGACTACAACAAATTAATATTTWAAAAAAATATTCACCTATGAATAAACATGCGACTTTCTAAATAACTCATAGCACTAGCTATTTGAGTGGCCATATACATGAGAACAACTGCATTAATATTTTCCCTATTTCCTTGCCGTAAATAATCCAATAGATTTCCTTTACTCATGAATTCTGTTATTATATAAAATGGTGGTTCTCTAGTACAAACACCTGTACATATTGAATAGAACAAAAAAATAATAATTAAATACAAATATTAGCATGTTAAACTATTATAATACCTAGCAATTGAACTAAATTTGGATGTTTCATTTCCTTCATAATGGCTGCTTCTTCTAAAAAATCTTTGAGTGCCATTGTGTCTTCCTGTAAAATTATTAAATTCATCGTGTTGACCAATGTTGTAAATTAACAATAAATGACCAAATATACAATATACAATTTTATCACTTATTAAAACAATTAATTTATAAAAATTCCTAATAAATATAATGAAATAAGTAACCTTTAAGGTTTTTACTGCAACAGTCATATTATATCGTTTCCAAACAGCTTCATAAACATCACCATATTGTCCACCACCAAGTTTGTGTCTCATAACAATATCTGTCCTATTAATTTCCCACTCATCGGGTTCAGGACTAAGTGCAAACACTGTAGGCTTGTTATGTTTAGGAGCTGGATATAAAAGTTGTGTAATTAGACCATCAGAATGCATTGAATGATGATGAACTAATTCAGCAAGAGTGTTAAAACGACTCTCTGTAGTCACATACACCTAGATATAATATAGTATGTTATAAATACCATTTTGATTTAACAATTTAAAAGTTGAAAAAATGATATACTTTTCCATCAGAAGTATCTTCATTAATGCGATAATGGTAAACACGTCCTTCATATCTTAATGATATAGATCTTTGACCTGGAGAACTTTCGCTTTCCCGGACTAAAAAGCTACCATTTATTCCAGAGCTTAACAAATATTCAGCGGCATTTCTTGATATAGGACCATGATACCAAGAATGTTTCTCCAATGAGTTAACGGGTGTAACATAGTTTGATGGTACCCAACCAACTTGTCCTGGTGATGCATGTGCCTCACACCATTCACCACTTTTGTTGTAAGATAAAATACGAACTTGTTCTCCTAAACAAAATTAATAAAAAGAAAACGTAAGAAACATTATTTATAACTAAAAATCAATAAGTAATTAATTGAAAAACAACCTTTTTTAAGACTAAGTTGGTTATCACCGCCTGCTTGAAAATCATACAAAGCAACAAATAACTGTGGATCATCATCTTCTTGGGATTGCAATAAGTTTTCTTTTGATGTCCATCGAATTGAAGATTCTAAGTTGCTTGAAATTGTACCACCAATAGAGCCACCAGAACTTCCACCACCTGAAGGAATGGTCCCAGGAGGATCACCATCAGGAAGATCTGGTATGTGAGGTAAAGGTCGACTTTGTAATAATGCTTCTGAAAAAATAAATTGTATTTTTAAATTATTAAATAAATTTAAAATACCTAAACATTTAGTAACATTTTTTTAAATAAGTTAGATATAAAAATAGAGTTTTTAAATGAAGTTAAAAATTATTAAATAAATGTAACTAGTATTCACTTAATTTATTAATATGCATTTTATAGTAGATGAAGATGGTAGGTAACTATAAAACAATTTTTATTTATTCAAACAATATTATTTTTAACTGATTCTACAATTAAGTAAAAGGTAAAATTAGGTAAGTAAAAACAAGCAATGTGATTGGCCTACAAAAATAATTTATAAATGTACCTACTCATATCTGTTAGTCAACAAGATTAGTTAGATAAATCTTATGGCTAATTGTAAAGAAGATMAATTTTGTATCTGACTATATCAATCACATTGCACAAAAAGTGATTGTTTTCTTTTGAGACAAAATATATATCAGGATTATTCTAATTTATAGCTTACAATATATTTTATGTTGATATAATATTATATTTTCTGATTGATTAATACCTATAAATCTTTATACATTYTAGTAAGTACATTTTATATCAGTATAATACAGTATAATTTTTACATTATATCTAAAATCTGATCTATTTAATTATCAATATATTTTCCTTAAATATATATATTTTTTAAATTTACAAAATTAACTAGAGCAGAAAATTTCAGAAATTAGTAAGAATCTTTCTTTGAGATGGCTATTACTTTCAAGCAAAATGAAATTATTATCAAGTACAATCACTAAGTATTTACATTATTTCTGTCTACCTACATTTTTAAACGTTATGTGTTTAAAACATTGTACTTAGGTACAAGTTTTTATCTGTATATATSATACAAAATAACAATATTAATATCACCAATATTTTTACCATATATTTAAATTTAATATTAATTATTTTAAGTACTATGTACCTATTTTAATTATTGTTATTGCAAAAAACTATAATTATTTAGTACTTAACATAAATTCAACATATGAGGTAACTATATTCCAATATACATTAAGTAATACATGGTAACCTAATTTATTGTGTTATTTAAACTACCTTTATTTTTCAGTTAAGTAGATCTAATGTAATGTTTAGATTATGCTATTATTTTGATTAAATAGGTGAGGTTTGGTAGGTATGTGATTAAATAATAGGAAGACTTTTTTGGTAATTTAATATTATTTTTGTACAAATCTTATTCTTATATCATGAATTATTCCCCTTAATTTCTGGTATATAATCAAAAATAGGTAAAAAAAAACAAGATATGAATTCAGTAAACAAGTGTCGGTTTATAATTATTACCAATAAACTATTAAATACATATACGTTTAGCTTGTAATAGGTAATAAACCATAAACTTCTTTTTATAGGTACTTAGGTATAAAAAATGTATAATTCATTTGTAGATATTTTGTACATGAATTGTTGAATGTAACATAATCCCCTATCAGTTCTAGATAGATTAATATAAAAATGTAGGTACACTTAAACGTTGTTTATATTTTACAAGTGTTAGTTACCTATTATACTCAATACCTATCAGAAAGTGTGCGTTGTTAATATTGTAAATATTGCTGTACACATATTTTAATACAAAAACACATACAAATGTGTTTCAGATCAAATAGAAAACCTACCATCTTGTTTAAATTTTTTTTATTTACTCTTAACCGTTAACCTCGCACCATGATAAATATTGTAACAGATTTTGATCCAATAGTAGGCATGACGGATAACATTTTATGTTATAAAATAGTATAGGCATAGTGAGCAGTATAGTCACCGATAGAATTTGTGACTCATGTGCAACGCATCTTTTAATGACACATACCTATTAATACCTAACAMACGAGAACTGTTGCTCACCACTATGTTCGGTGAATATGTTCAGCCCTTGGTTCTTGCCGTCTTTGATGTTGGAAAACCGCGGCTTGGACCTGATGCTGCGCACGGTCAGCGATCCMGAGGTCAGGGCGCGATCCTTGGTCTGCTGCGCGCCCATGGTTAGAGACCATTACCCGGACAGATGGACGGCGTTCAATCCGCGACGGTGGCGGACACGCATAGGGTAACACGTCTGAGCGAACGTTGGCCAAATACCGATTGTCCGGCGGGGCGCATTGCCGCGAACACCGAAACGGGACGGCCGCAGATCGCACGCACGCAACTTCCGCGCCGACTTAACTCGGCAGTCGGCTGAGAAGCCGCAACAGCGACGGTAACTTGCGCGAGAAAACTCGCGGCGGCCCGACGAACTTTTTACAGATTATTGTCACTACACAACTGCTCGTTGTTATTAAAAAACGTGAATTATTGTTGTTGTTATTGTTGTTATTTGAATGACGTCCGCCGTCAATCGTAGTCACTTGACAGTCGACTTCGTTTGCGGCGATATTGTACTGAAGTACGGTGTCTGATTTTCTTCTCCAGTTTTCTCGCTTATCGCTTATCACCCGTAACACCCGCGTATGCTCCAAGTTTTCGTCTATACCCTGGTTCGTTGTTGATAACCAGTTACAMGACAATCATATGATCACAGAATAGATTAGTCCRTAGTGTTAATTCATCGACTAACGTCCAACTGTTATCAAGCTGTCTCCGAGCTAACGCAAAAACTAAATATTTATATTATTAGTTATTACAAAACAGTGCGCAACATAAAGAATTTTCAGATGTTAAATTATTTGTACTTGAATTAAAGTTATATCATAAATTAATTACCCGTACGACTTACATAGTTACATATTCGTATAAAGTTCACTCAAATGGTAAGTCTTGACATCACACGAAGTATATTGTCCCTAATAATATTCSTTTTGTCACTTCACAAATGAATATGATTATAATTTTTGACGCAAATCGATTTTATACTTGCTACCTACCTACCTACTTACTTTGAAAAAGTCTTGATAGGGAGGTAATTTATGATTACTAATACTAAAATAAAAATATTTGTTTATTAACCATCATAAATAAAGTTATTAGCTGAAAATCTTATTTTAAAGAAATAGAAATTACTTATCTATTACTAGTTAAAATTCTCAAATTTATCTGATGTTCAACAGGCTTTTACGCCATCATTACTAACTTACATTAATTTTCAAATACTTGCTTTTATTCAACATAAACTTTRTATTTAAAGTTGATTTAATAAATAATTATTAGTTCCTTTAGAATCATAATAATGTATTTATTTTTGCTTATAAAAATAAATRTTTTCTGCTGTATGTGTAGATATATTTTTATAGAATAAACAAAAGCTATGTTTCATCACATTTCTAACTTATGAATTTATTAGATTTTATTGATTTTATGCTTCATAATATTTTGACTTTTAATGTTTTTAAGTTATTATTGAAATTGTGTTAGTTGTACTCGTATTAGTCACCTTTAAACATATTCCCAAGTATCTTAAGTTAGGAAAAAAAAGTTGACACAGGTTTAATAATTGTATACTTATTTGTATAACTTATTTTGTTTTGAATGCATACAAAATCCATAATTTTTTTATGAATTGGTTTATATTCAACTCTGTCCTAAAAAAAACTGCAACAAAATATTTGTTTCTCTCACAAAAAACATTTTTAAACTGATTACTTACAACAAGTTAATAATTAAGTGTGTTTCTTTCAGTTGTGTGTGCCAGTTAAAAGTATATTAGCTTTCCAGTCTAGAACAGTTTGTTGTGTTGCTATAAAATCAAATGGCATAATATATCCAAAACATACAAACTTCGCAATTTCTAAGCGCTATGCTGTCACAGACTTTGTTGGTATTAATACTAAAAGTAAGATTTCTGATTTTATTGACAGATTTCAAATTATGAATCCATTAAATAAGGCTGTAAGTAAACATACCATAATATTATGCAATAAACATGTTTCATGTTATTATTTTAGTAATAACTTTCAATAATTTTTTTAATGTTGGTATTTTATAGAAATATGAAGCAAATAGTTGGATTTTATATGAAAAATTGGTTGATCAAATTCCTTTTGATCAAATCATGACAAGTAATGAGTTTTAAATTAAATAATCTATTCACCTGTTCTAAAAACTATTTTCTTTTTCAGAACTTGACTTGCCAGATACATTTAATTCTTGGTTCATCATAACAGAACTACACTTATGGATGATATTTGTTCGTTTAATGAATGAAGGCACTCGAGGAACAATGATTAGAAATTTTATCATGGAAGCATTATGGAATGATGTTGAGTTTCGTTCTAAAAAATTAGCAACTGTAAGTTTTGTTTGAGACAAGTTTATTTTGTATAACTAAAAAAATATACACATATTTATGACTCATATTATATATTATGTGGTATTATATTACATTTTAACATACAGATCTATTAATAATAAGCTTATATTGTTCGAGAAAAAAAGATTTTATCATAATTTTTAAGTTACGTAATTACTAGTTAACAAAAAGGAACTTTTAACATAATAAAAAATATACTAATAATAATTTTAATATTATTAGGTAAGTTCAGATATTCGGCATCGTCAAATAAAGGAATTGAGTGATCAATTACGAGGAGCATTAGTAGGTTATGATGAAGGATGGCTTAGTAATGATATGGTCTTAGCCAGTATGGTATGGCGTAGAGTATTCAATAAAGAATGTAATGACCCAGAAAAAATTGAATTAGTAGTGAAGTATATCAGGAAACAGGTAAAATAAAAAATATATTAACTCTTATGGTAACTTTGAGTTTCAACATTTTATTTTATATATTGTTTTCAACAGATGTCCATTCTTCAATTGCAAACTTTTGATAGTTTATTTACAAAAAAAGATGTCAAGTGGATAAAATTTATATAGAATTATAGTAAAAAGAAAAACAGTGTATATTATATATATATTACCTAACCTAATTATAAATTAGATATTTAAACGATCAATAATTAATTACGTTTTGTGTAAATCTCACAAAATTCATTAAGTGTGTTGTCAGCAATTCTATCAAAACTGTCAGACATATTTATATTGTCTTGAACTACCACTTCTTGATCGGACTTTCCATGAACACTATTTTCTGCTAAATGTAGACTAGCAGATAAATTGGCTGACAACACATGTTCACTGTCTTCCAGCAAGGTAAATTCCCTCAAATCACTAGAATCCAAACGATCTAAGCTTGAGAAAGTAGCTTCCATAAGATTAGGCTCATTATTGCCTTCTGTTGGACACGGTAAAGGTGTTATAGTGATGGTAGTTGGTGGAGCATAATTTTTTTGAGATGTTGGAGTATGACTACTAAGTGTAGGTAACACTTCTGTAATAGTGCAACCACTTATTGTGCCACAATTAGTTTGAATTCCTGTACAATTTCATTAAAACTATTAAAACGACTTGAAATTAATGTTTAAAAAACAAACAAACAATATTATTTTTGGATAAAATTTGAAATTTTATAAATTGGTGATTTAAATCACAGCCAACATTGAGTATATCAATAACGTAAATATAAATAGCAATAAAATTAATATTCAATTTAAAAAAAAAACTTTTGGGTCTAATTTTTGTAATGTATAACACTGATTCAAATTAAATAAATAAAAAAATTTATAAGAGTTAACTATTGATATTGATGAACTTAAAACAATCAAAAATCATACTGACTTTTATCTTAGTCTTTTTTATCAATTTTCATAACCACAAAGTTTTGTATACCTAGCAGTACTGTATTAACATACAATTTTTGGTCTAATGCTGGTTTAATATTAACTAGTATATATTCTAATATGTATATTTTTTTATCTTCATAATATTCCTACAACGTCAGATAGAAGAAAATTAGTTTACCTGTAGGTGGACGAACAGTGGTTTTCAGTAATGTAGTTTGCCCATACATTGAGTTAGAATTTACATTTGGAAATTGGTATTCAAGTGGTGAAGGTGTTCTTGAGTTATACAGAGGTGAATGCTGACCAAGAACACTTGAATTTGAAAGTGGATATAAACCACTATAAGGATTGGGACTAGTTTCTATACAATAAAAATGAGTGAATGTTAGTTTTTGAACATAAATGTCTAATCTATAGTTCAAACCTGGTTCTTCTTTGATTGGTACAGAAATAGACAATTGGTCAATAACCATTCCATCAATAAAATTAGAAGATTGAGCCATAAGTCCTAAAATAATATAATTGGTAATAAAAACAGTATTTGTTACTATTTAAAAATGACAAAGCAATAGCATGCAAATTTTATTGTTAGAAACACTTACATTAAAAAGCAATTACAATTGGTAAATTAGAAACAAAAATAACATTCTATACATTAGAAATCACATCATAGAGCTATAGAGTACTAAAGATGATAATAAGAAAGTTACTTCAGAAAATCTATTTAGAAAACAAATATACAACTAATACAGGATGGTATACCAGGTGTATCAAATTATATAATTAAAATAAATTCACATTGAGTTCTAAATTGATCTTATACTTACTTTCAAATTATTAGAGCTTGGATWAGATAATTTATAATTCTAATTCATAAACTTGTACAAMAAATTTCTTATCAGAGCTASATACAAAATTAATAAACCGAAAAATTGTGATCTAGGGGTTCGATCTAATGCTTGAATATTTCACCAAAAATATATYGATGTCTCGTTTGATTTTAAATGAGGGGAATGCAGCAACTGTGAAATTATGAAATATTATTTGTTTTTACATTTATCAAGTTTCAATTTAATTTGGGAAAAATAAATGATTTAAATATTTATGTGCTGCATAAAGAACATATATTTCATATCAAGAATTGCAATACTTGGGTTTTTTTTTTAAATAAAATAAAAACAAAAAAAAAATACACATTATATCCCATCCAGCATATTGAATTCTACTTTAGAAAACCACATATAACCAAAAAATACTCTACCCTACTTTTTACTTACTTATTATTTTCTTAATTTTATTTGTTCATTCTTCTCCTTGTATTTTCACATACTAAATATTAAATAAACTACAAATTTATATATATATATATATATATATATAATATACGTATATATACTTGAACATATAAAGAAAAGGAAAGAAACACAATTAGGCTTGTACAGAGATATACACATTATCACATGTTCGTTAAATTTATAAATACTAATATCATGCTAATTAAATGAAACTGACATAAACTGATTGACACCGGCACCGAATAGTAACAATTTTTTTAAATCACCTTACAACGCCCAGGGTTGTTTATAAAAGCTTAATGTCATTTATATTATATTTACTCACTAGGGTCACTCTGTAATTGCCTCAAAAGTTCACTTTCGCTAGATAATTTCTGTCTTTTCCTTTTCAACATGGCTGGATCTATAACGCGCAATAAACAAATCAATAAACATTGCATAAACTTAAAATAATAAAATATATTTTTGAACATTAACTTGGCTTACAATATTTAACTGCAATATAAAAATGTATACCCATAAACAATATTAGAAAAAGAACATGAAAATTATGATCAAAACAAATTACACAATTATTTATATAATGAAAAAAAGGAAAATAAATGTTAATATGTTAATTTATTAAAACTATGGACTAGATCTTAATTTACTCTATTCTTATAATTAAATTATACTCAATAATCTAAGTAATATTTAATTGTTAGTACAAGCAAAATATTTCAATAATCACTGCCAGTCAATAATTAAATTAAATTATTTTAGAACCCTGATACGTTTATTATTTTTAATTTCAACAATTTGTTAGGTAATCAATGTTGAGCAAAATGATGATAGTTAACTTTTTCTTTTGATTACATTATTTAACAGTTGTAACTGTGCCCCCTTCCACAGTGCTATAATACATAGATGATTCGTCAAACTCCGACATGGCTGCATGAGGTGCTACAGAAGTATATAAGGCATAATTTTCTGCTTCTGTTAAAGGAGTGTCATTAATAGGTTCATTGATACTACTATTAGACGAACACATTGATTTACTTCTTTTCCGCATACTCAATAACTTATGCAATAGTTTGATTTTTGATGGTTTTTCTTGCACTGTAGGAAGATATTTTGTTGGTCTAGGATTTTTTTTAACTCTTTTTGGAGGCAATGGTGGCGCAGTATTATTGTCAAACTTTGGTTTAGAACTGCTAGGAGGTCTGGGTGGTAAAATTGACACATCCTCATAACTCTGACATCTTTCAGGTATTGAACATGGATTTTTAAATGCCATTTGAAGACTAGAGTAAGTTCCACGCAAATCTTCACCCATAATCTCTGAAGACGAACTAACTGTATCTTCTTTATTCTCTTTATTAATATCATAACATATTTCCTCGTTGACCTCCATAGGTTCATCTTTAATTTCTACCTTAATATCTTCATCCTCATTATCTTTATTTTTATCGAAAACGCTAAGCGGTACTTTTTCTTCTGGTTGATCATCTGCCCAGTAGTCATTGAAACTTTTTTCTGGTAGCCTATCATATTTCTGAGGGGACATACCTGAATCGACYGGAGTGAACAAAAATGGACGAGCTTCACTAGACATGCCATCTGAAGGTCTTTTTAACTGAATCCATACATTTACTGGACCGTCAATCTAAATTAAAAAAGTAAAAGGAATATTTTGTTTTATGCAGTATGACTAAAATATTAAACTTTAAATGTAATAAATTGTACATTAAAAGTTATACAATTTAATAATTTAAATTTACCTGCAATATTTTATATTTTGGAGTCCTAAAACTAATAGCTACTTGTTTATGTACATCTGAAGCTTGAAAATCAGCATACCCTTCCCAAGTGCATACACCATCTTTTTCCTCAAAAAATCTTACTTGTATATCATCTAAATCAATAGCACATTATAATTAGCCCATTATAAACTTATTTTTTATTTTTATTTTTCACCTTTTGTTACTTTTTCACATAATAATATGATTTCTCTACCACCTACAACTGAAGCTGCTGCATCACTTAATCTACATATTACTAAATCTGACATCGCTTCTAAAAATAATAAATTGAAGATTATATAAGTTACTTAAAATAATCACTGTTGAATGCTAATAATTGTATTAGTTGAAGCAAACTAACTTTTATCATAAATTGGATCTGATACAATTGGTTCAAGGATACTATATTTTCCTTTTTGTGTACCACCAAGAAATGCTTGAAAACACAACCTTACTGCATTTAAGTCAATTGAAGTTGGATTCTCTTTATGTAAAAATCCAGCTGTAAAAATAAATATACATAATGTTCTATTCTAATGCTYTTAAAATATTAGACTTATAACTAGGGCTCTTGGTTTGGTACGTGTATTGATATACATGTGTACACGTTGTCCATACCTTGAATAGTAAAATGTATGAATWCCCGTGTATTTAATTACACATTTTTTTGAAGTTTATGTATACGTGTATTAAAATTACCCGTGTTTTTAAAGTCCAGTAGTTTTTATAAACTTTAAATAAAAAAAATTAATTATATTGTCATGTAATTTTGATACGTGGAATACTATTTTTGTGGTATTATTACACTGAGTTTAATGTAATCTAATGTCTTTTGTGATGACGTAATAATTGCCAGTTWCAAATAAATTTACCAATTATTATTGTTTTAGTTATAATAATATGTTTATATTAAGAGGATGCTACACAATCATGTTTAGCTCAGTTAGTTTAAAATTTAGAGTGAATCGACCTATTATGAAACTTGATGTTTAGAACATTATCTGTGTTTGTGTGTGGGGTTTTTAAGATAATTCAATTTTGTAGCAAGTTATACTTATATAAAAATGCTCATAACTCACTTAAAAACTAAATTATAGTAAAAAATAAACCACATACAAACACAGATAATGTTCTTACCATCAAGTTTCATAATAGGTCAATTCACTTTTCTAATTTTTAAACTATTGGAATTAAATGTGATCTGATAAGTATACATATTTTGTTATGTTATGCACTTGTAAGACGGAGACAACAAATATGTGTCTAGTGTCATCTTAAGTATAAAATGTTTAATATTATATTATATAYACGATATTCCTATAATCCTATATTATACAAAATGGCTTAAGATAATAACATTTATGTTTTTAGTTTTTTTATTTATGTATGTATTTTTAAACATTTAGGTACAGGTTTGTAAAAAAAGAAATTACAGAGGAAAATACCTTAAAAATGTTCAGAAAAATAAACCTACCTAATATTATTTCTACCTTCAAATTTGATTGTAAAAAAAATGATGTATTTTTATAAATGTCTTACTTAAATATTTGTATGATGACATGTGATGGGGGGAGGGGTTATTGTAGGGCACTAACTTTTGGACTCCACCTTTTGGACCTTCTTTGGATCAAGAAAGACGGACATTAAAAACACTTCACATGGGCACACGGATTCTATAATATGAACTTTAAATACACGTGTACTTTGATTACAGACTTAAACAATGTTTTGTTAAATACATGTGAAATAGAGACCTCTACTAATAACTAAATAGTATTTGGATATGTTTAATAATTAACTTACTTCTAAATGGATCTACTCTTATTTCTTCTCGTACTTTGAGTGCCTCATCAATATCTTTTCTTTTTACACACTGTATTCCCAAATTCTGAAAACTAGCTGTCATTGATTCGTTATTGATTTCTATAGTACAAATTCCTCTTTTGCAGTTATCACGTCCTACAAGGTTATGGGGGTGAGGTCTATATGGTCTATCTTTTGTGACACATGATACTACAACAACAGCCCTGCCTTTATAACCTACTATCTGAAAACCAAACCACAAAAATTATTGTCATAAGAAAAAAATATGTGACAACTTAATAAAAATAATTTGTAGTGACATTACTTGAATTGTTGGATAGGTTTTATTTTCAGAGCTACTATTAACTCCAGGTATACTTCCAGCTGATCTTCCTTCACACTCATATCTAAACCTCAAAGCTTTTGAAGCAGGCTGTTCGACAATCTTGATATATGGTGAAGTTGGAGGTCTTCGCCCATTATTTGATGATGGACCGTCCATTTGTTGCACAGTGTCAGTTCTTACGTGCTCTTCAATGACCTCAACTAAATAAAAATTAATTTKGTCATAATAAATTATGGTGATATTGTTTAAGAGTAAATTATTTTAAGATGAGTTAAAATAAGTTAGAAATACATACAGTATCTACATTATCTAATACATAGGTATATCTCAATTATTAGTTATTGCAAATAATAATAG